ACCATGTGTGCCGTGGCCCCGGACCAAGTGCATCGTCATGGGCATCTGGGGGGGTCACGTCCGACTACTGCCTGCTCTGGTCTTCCTGGGGGACCTCAGCGTCAGCGAGAGGCAGGGCCTTCAGTGCGTCTGCGAGGAGTCCGCAGCCTCCACCTGCCCGTCTACCTGCTGGACTCCCCTGTCTTTGCCGTCACGCCCCTGCTGGTGGCCACGGTCCTGTACAGGCTCGTCGGGAGGACCTTGTTCTGGAGCTCTGTCCCACCCACCCCACCACAGGGGACGGTGAGGCCTGGCAGGAGGGGAGCCCAGGGGAGGCGGCCCCAGGGGCCAGGTGGGAGCCCCGGGTCCAAAGACTTCTGATCTTCCAGGAAACAGGTAGGCGAGATCCCCGGTAGAGCTGGGCAGGGCAGTGGGGAGCGGAGGGAGGGGCTGGTAGGCAGAGGGGCGAGGAGATGGGTAGAGGCAGACCTGGGCAGAGAGAGGATGCAGCCAGGTGTGCAACCATTCACTCACTGGGTGCCTGCTCAGCCCCCACGGAGTTCTGGGCCCTGGGCCTCGGGAGCACGGAGCACAGGGCATGGGGCACAGGGCACAGGGCATGGGGCACGGAGCATGGGGCACAGAGCATGGAGCCTGGAGCACGGGGCACGGGGCATGGGGCGTGGGGCACGGGGCCTGGAACATGGAGCACGGAGCCTGGGGCACGGAGCCTGGGGCACGGGGCACGGGGCAGGGGGCATGAGGCACAGGGCACGGAGCCTGGGGCACGGAGCCTGGGGCACGGGGCACGGAGCACCGGGCAGGGGGCATGGGGCACGGAGCCTGGGGCACAGGGCACGGGGCATGGGCAGGCACACACACAGCCTGTGGGGGCAGGGGGAGGGGAGGTGATGTGGGTCAGGTCTTAGGGGAGAGTCATATACCAGAAAGCACTGGGGGGATAGGGGCTGTGAATGGCGGGGGCGGGGGGTTGGGTGCTTGTGGCTTGGACCGCAGGGAGCAGGGAAGCCATGGGGGTCTCTAAGACGGACCGTGGGAGACAGCCTGAGACGGGCGTGCTCAGAGACAGGGGCAGGGAGAGGACTGAGCAGAGGAGGCACCTGTGACCCCGCAACAGAGATGTGAGAGGGAAGAGAGACAGAGAGAGATAGAGACAGAGAGACACAGAGACAGAGAGAGACAGCGCCAGGTGCACAGAGTGGCAAAGAAGTGTGTCCACACTCCGGGTGCAGTGTGGCCCCAGCTTCAGAGCTCCGGACATACAGGTGGTCACACTTTCTGGGGCAAAAGACAGCCCCCCTTCTCGCCACAATTCCGGAGGGAGATTGCTGTCATCCTGGTGCTGTGAGGTAGAGAGGGAGGCTCAGAGAGGCTCAGTGGGCTGCCCAGGCCACACAGCAGGAGTCTGGGAGCTGAGACGTCCCTCGGTCCCGCAAACCCCAGTACCTAACCCTCATCTGCTGCCTCCGGACTCTGGAGATAGCGGCAGGGAGGGGCCACCTGGGGACCCCCTCAGCTCTGGGCCCCCTGGAAGCTCCTTGCGTGGGTCAGGCTGGCAGCTGTCCCCCAGAGGCCGGGACACAGCCCCTTTGCCTCCCCGATGGCCCCAACTCCCTCAGACACTCTGGTCTGTCAGACTGTCCTGGGCTGGTGGGCTTCGAACCCCCTCGGTCTTTCTGGGTCTCGAGGCGCACTCCTGAACTGAAGGGGTGGGATGGGGTGTGGGCGGGGGCCCCCCCAGAAGGGGCGGCTGCAGCTGGAGGGGGCGTTCAGACAGATATGAGCACGCCGGGCTTCGGAGCAGGTGGCCTTGCGATGCCGTGCTGTGGGGTCTCTGAGCCCCCCAAGCTCTGCTTCCTTGTTCCCAAAGGGGAGACTGTGAGAACGCATCTCAAGGGAAGCCGCCCAGTGCTCAGGGCCGCGTGGGGCCCCAGGGCCCGTCCCAGGCCTCAGCCTTTGCCCGCTGGGAACCTAAGTGGCCTGGGGGCAGGCTGCACCCGGGAACCCAGGGCAGTGACGGGCGCCACCCGGGGCAGAGCTACTTCATGATCTCATCCACCAGCCCAGCTGGGGGCGTCGGCCCTGGGCCAGGTCATAGGAAGTGCGTCACATGGTACCCAGCACATACGCGGTAACAGTTCAAGTCACCGTTTTAGGAAGGTTCTCGTCACCACTCCGCAAACAGCTCCGAAGCGGGAGTTGTGGCCGCACCTTCCCGTGGCGTGTGCTCGGCCACCGGCCTGTCCCCGTCTCCCGCAGGTCACCAAGATGCCACTCCCTGCCGTCCCGGGCATGGCCTACAGCAGGCCGCTGCTGCTCAAGTCCCTCGGGGCCCCGCCCTTCCCGGACCCCCGGGTGCTCCTCATGTGCGGCACCCGCGTCCACACCCGCAGCGAGGTTGGCCCCTGGGTCCACAGCCTCATGTCAAGTGTCAGGCGGGGGAGGGACAGAGGCACACGGCCACCGGCCACCGGCTGCAGTGTGGTCCAAGCAGTCCTCCCCGAAGGTGCTGACCGACAGGAGAGAGGGCTCGGGACCTCAGGCAGCGGGCCCCCCCCACCGGCCGCAGGGTCTGAGGGCCGCCCGCCTCCTGCCCAGCGCCCTGCCCCTCTCTGCGCATGGGCCGGGTCCTGCGGACGTCGGCCCTGTCCATCTGTCCACTGGGCCAGGACAGGGGCAGACACCCCCTTTGGCCAATGGCTTCCCTCCCCACGAACTCGGCCAGTGGTGTCCCGGGTCCAAGGGCTGGAAGTTCAAGTCTGCACTCCATGTGGGAAGCTTTCACCTCGTCTGGAAGATGGGGAGGCAAGAAACAGGAAAAAGAAGCCGGAGGGCCAGTAGCTCACGTTAGATCCCTGAAGCTTATTATAACGCTAAGCATTTTTTCCCTGGGGAGAAGCCCTGGGGAGAAGCCCTGAGGGCGCTGAGGTACCTTGCTTCCCGTCTCTGTCCACACAGCCTTCAGCGGTGGGTGGAGCCTGCCCAGGACCCTGCATTCCAATGTGGATAGAGACTACCTGGGGCCGCAGGGAGAGGGGACCCAGCTTCCACTGCTGATATGTCCAGGCGCTTCATGTGGCAGGGGAGTCCCCACCCCAGGCCGCCCCTGTGCCCCAGCTGGAAGAGGGTACTCCTGGAGGGGTCAGCAGGGCCGGTGCCTTTCGGATCCCACTGCTAAGCAGGAGCTGGGGGGCAGGGACTGGGGTGAGCGGGGAGCCACCGAGGAGGCAGGACCAGCCCTGTGTGGTGATCCTTTTTTTTTTTTTTAATGTTTTATTTCTGAGAGAGAGAGACAGCGTGAACAGGGGAGGGTCAGAGAGAGAGGGAGACACAGAATCTGAAGCAGCTCCAGGCTCTGAGCTGTCAGCACAGAGCCCGACGCGGGGCTCGAACCCACGAACTGTGAGATCATGACCTGAGCCGAAGTCGGACGCTTCACCGACCGAGCCACCCAGGCGCCCCTGTGTGGTGATCCTTAATGATGGGGAGCTCTGGGCTTCCGGCCATGCCTGCCTCTGTCACCCCAGCAACAGCCTGCATGGGACTCCCTCTGTCCCCATCGTGTGTGGGGGCCTGGACTCCTCCTCCAGGCAGGCACCCCCCTGTCCCCTGCAGGTGAGCCATTGCTCTCATGACCCCCGAGATGGGCTCGCATCTCTGACCCTGTCCCTGTTCCTTTTCAGGTCACTTTCTTCCCGGCCTCTGTGGTATCCAGTAAGAGCAGATTTTCTTTTTTTTTTGTTTGTTTTTTGTTTTTATTTATTTAAACTCAAGTTACTTACTATGCAGCGGAGTGTTAGTTTCCAGAGTGGAAACCGGTGATTCATCACTTACGTGCAACACCCAGTGCTCGTCCCAAGGGTGCTCCTCACTCGCTGTCCCCACCTGGCCCATCCCCCTCCCACCTCCCTGATCAGCCGTTTGTTCTCTGTAGAGTCTCTTCTGCTTTGCCTCCTTGTTTTCATCATTTTTCCCCCTTGACCTTCCCCTATGTTAATGTTTTGTTTCTTAAATTCCATTTATGAGGAGTCGATGGGGGGGGCGGGGGTGTGAGTGTCCCGCTGGCCAAGCCCCTGAGGCCGGCAGGGCCGAGGATGACAGGTCGGGGCACCCGCACCGGTGACCCTGGCCAAGCCCAGTGGATGTTCGCGCCCCTTCTAGCCGCGAGGTCAAGGTCCATCCTTGGTTCGTGGGAGGAGACCGTCCTGAGTCAGCCTTGCTCCCTGAACTGCTTCTTTACTAGTGTTTTCCGCACAGGGTCTCTCACTGACGTGCGAGGCTGTTTTTTGTCCCTTCCCCAGGAAATCATCTGTGCACCCGCCAATCGCTGTCCAGCAAACAAAAGCGACCTCCCCACGTCTGGAGGTCAGCCAGGGACGCCCCGGGGTCTCCCGGGGACCGTGCCAAGCGCGGGCGTGGGGGCTCCGGGCCTCCGGGCCCGGGTGTCTGTGCCGGGCGGTACGGAGCTAGCTGCTGGGTGACGGCCCGTGAGGCCGGAACCTGGGACCGCAGGCTCTGAGGCTAAGAACGCGGGCGGGGGGCGGGGCAGGCTGCCGGCCGGGCCCCCCCAAACTGTGGCAGCGCCCGCTAACGGGCGAGCCCTCGGTTCCCGGCCCGGGTGGCCGACGGCGGAGAAGCTGGGTGTGCGAAGGCCGACGGCGCGGGCTCAGCGGGCCGACGCGAGCCGTCCCGCGGGCGGCCACCCAGGGGCTACGGACGCGGGCCTAGTCCCCAGGGCGCCCGGGGGCGCCGGGGTGCCGGGCGGCCGGCGCGAGGCCCCGGGGGGCCGGGGCCCGGGGCCCGGGCTTGCGTCACGCCCTGCAGGAGCTGACGCAGTCCGCACCCTCCACGACGCCCTTCGGGTCCCAGAGCCCGACGGGGTCCGGGGTCCGCTTCCGGTTCTGTCTCCGACGTCACCCGGCCGGCGGCGTGCCGCGCCTCTCGCGGCTTTCCCGGCAGCCTCTGGTCTCTCCGCGCGGCGCCGCCGCCCCGCTTGCGCCCCGAGCCGCGGTGGGAGGCGCGGGACCCGCGTGGCGGCCCTGGTGGCCGCGGGGTGGCACGTGTGCCCCGGGGGCGTCGCCCGGCCGCCAGGCGTCTCCGGTGTCACGGGAGTGGGCGGGGCCGCTGGCCTCTGGAGCCGCCTGACGCCCCGGGGAGCAGTGCGGACCCTTGCGGAGGTAAGACCCCTGAGTGCGGTGCCCGGTGGCCGGGGGGCACTGTTCTTGGCTTTGGGGAACTTTCCAAGCAGCCACAGGGGGAGGGGGAGGTTTGCCCCTGAGGACGATGCACCTCGTTGTGGTCTCTGCCAGAAACCTCCTCCAGGAAGCCTCCCGGGCAGCCACCCCTCCTAAGACCCCACTACTTTCCGCCCTGTGCTCGTTGCTGACTCGGGTAGCCTCTCTCGTGGGAGCCTGGAAATGCCCGAGGGTAGTGACCTGTTTGCTTGTGCTTTGGAATTTTTGGTACTAGCGCTGGTGGCCTGAACGGTCCCTACCGCTGGGTCCAAGCCGGGGAGGCGTGTAGGTCCGGAGAGCTTGAGGAGGCCCCTTGTCTTGCGGCTGGGGGGCGGGGGGCAGTAGGCTCGGTTCTCGAGGTGGGGCCAGGTCAGCAGCCGAAGTTGGCCTGGGTCGGAGCACTCGAGGCGGGCCCCCGCACTGCACAAGGCCTTAGGGTCTCCTCACTGCCCTGCGTCGTAGACGGACCTGGTTCTGGAGGGTCTCGGGGGCCTGAGGACACAGGAAGTAAAGAAATTGCAGAGAAAAACGCAGAGCAGAACCTTCAATCAGGACACTAATTAACAGCGTGCAAACACTTGCCCCTGATGTGCTCCTGGCCCCTTTACTTTGCACACCTGTGGATTGTACCTTGTCCTAGAAGCCAGGTAACCCCCACAGGGGCAGGCTGGGGGTGGGCAGGACACCTGCTGCCTCGCTGGGCTCCGGAACATTCTCAGGCCATCACCTGGTGACAGCAGCCTCCCCTTCAGTGGCGGAACGCACTGTCTTTGTCTTTCACGGAGCTGAGGCAGCTTCAGAACCATGGCGGGTGGCGCGGGCCGCTGTCGGGTCGGGGTCGGAACTCTGGTGCGTGCTGCTGTCTGTTGGAGGTGGTGCGTTCTCTGAGGGCTCCTGGCACCCTGCACCCACTGTGGGCTTTTATGAGCAGGGACGGCATCTCCCTCCTCCTCCCTGCAAGGACTGGGTGTGATTCGGGCTTTCCCACCCCCCTCCTCCTGAGGAGCGTGGGGACCCTGGCCCAGACCACACCTGTGGGCCGGGGGGAGCATCCGGGGAGGGAGGAACCCACCCAGCCAAGGCCAGGAGCTCCTGGGGCTTGATCAGGGAGAACAAGGTTGCGCGTGTCGGGCTTCTGACTCCGTGTGGCTTCAGCAGAGGGATTTGATGACTGCGCAAGAATCGTCCCGGACGTGGGCAGTGACGCTGCTCGGTCACCCACGGAGGGGGCCCTGGGGACTTGCGCAGACTTCAGCCTGTCCTGGGGTGGAGGGGGGCTGGCATGTGCTGGCTGGAGACTCGAGCCGGGGTGCCACTCCTGGCCCTCCTGACTCCACAGTGGTAGGTTCCCAAGTTAGAGCTTGGGGACGCAGAGGCTGGGGAGAAGCGGGGGGCACTGGGGGCTTAGAGCTGTGTTAGGGGCCCAAGTGGCTGGGAGGCCACGCTGCCTTTCAAGCCTCAGCCTCTCGGGGGCCCCGGGGTGAGAGGAGAACTTCCAGGACACTGTGATCCACTTTCAGAGAGCTGGGGTGGGGGCGGAGACCCAACTCAGGGGCTTGGGCCAGTGGAGGCCACCTCCTGTGCAGGGGACTTGGGCCCCAAAGAGGTGACCTGGGAGGGTGGCCTTGGGAGAGGCCAGGGGGTCAGAGAATGCAGAGAGGGACTTGTGTGCTTGGGGGCAGTAGAGGTGCCCCCCCCCTGGCCCTGTGTGGGAGTGGGCGGTCCCCTGGATTCCTGCCCACAGACAGGAGACGCGAGGGGCCCCAGGGTGCGCACATAGCGCCTTGACGTCACACAGCCTCCAGCTTCTTTGGCAAAATACCCCCTTCCTCAAGTCCTGGGGGTGATGGGTGGGTGTGGGCGAGTGTTTAATCTAGCAGTTCTCAAAGTGTGGTCCACGGAACCCTCAAGGTCTGTGACATCAAAACGGCAGGCATTGCCTTTTCCACCAGCTGACCTTCGCCCTGCGGGGCCAGAGCTGCCGCAGCCCCAGGCCATGCTCAGGACTCCGTCCTTCACAGCTTATGTGTTGGACGCGGGGCTTCCCCTGAGACCCTCCTGCACGGGGCAGCGACAAGTACCGATCGTGTTAAATCTCTACTCTCAAATTCCTTTTTTTTAAATTTATTTATTTATTTTGAGAAAGACAGAGATGGTGCAAGTGGGGGAGGGGCAGAGAGAGAGAACCCCAAGTGCAGAGCCCGATGTGGGGCTCGAACTCACACACTGAGATCATGAACTGAGCTGAAGCCAGGAGTCGGACGCTGAACCCACTGAGCCGCCCAGGCGCCCCGTCTACTCTTGAGTTCTTTCTAATGCTTTTTAGTGACCGAATGGGAAACCACACAAGGCGCATTTGCCCCTGGGTATGAGGGGCACGGGGCTGGCCCGGAGGGAGGGCGCCGGGTTCCGTGGGCTGAGCCGTGGGCCCGCCAGTCCCCGGTCCCCTTTCCGGACCGCATTCCGCCTGTTTGCTTCACTGAAACATGCAATAGAGACAAATACTCGGCTTAGTGGTGGGACAGGACCGTGTATGACCCACCAACTCGACCTCTGCCCACATGTTCCCGGGACACTGCTCACAGCAGCCGAAGGGTGGAAACAGCCCAGGGGTCCACGGGGACACGAGTGGACACACAAAATATGCAGCAAGGTCCGCCCCTGGGATGGAAAACTACTCAGCCATATAAAGGGATGAACTTGGGAAACGTGTGGGGTGACGGGAGACAGTCGCAAAGGGCCACGTGGTAGCTGATGCCATTCATAGGAAACACCCAGAAGAGGCCACCACAGAGGCACAAAGCAGATTGGCCATTACGAGGGCTGGGGAGGGTTCGGGGAGGGGCTGGGGTCTCCCTTCGGGGGAGAACGTTTTGTATGGAGGGAGAGGGCTGGTTGCACAGCATGGGGAGTGCGCTAAATACGCCGGACTGTTCACTTTTAATGGGCACTCTGGTGAGTTTCACTCAAAAAGAGGAAGGAAGCCTTCCTGTGTGCAAAGTCCTGCAGCGGCTGGCCTCCGCGCCCGGCCTGCGGGCCCCTGGTGGCTCCGAGCTGTGCCCTGAAGTCCCAGCTGGCCCCGTCCTTCTGGGACACTGGTCCTGGGATCCGCCTGCCTCCACTTCCGGCCGACAGCGCCCTCTGTCCTTGGGAGTCACAGCCTCACAACACGAATCCGTCCCACTCGCGTTCCCACGGGGCCTGTGCTCATGTGTCCCTCCCCGTGGCTCAGTGGGTGGGACGGCCCCTGCTTTGCTGATGGCCAAGGAGGAAGGTCCCAGAGCTACGTGCTCCCATCGACATTCCCCAGACTCCAAACCCTCTGTCCTCGGCTGCTTCCTCTGCACTCCCCGGTCTTCTCCACTCTTCAAAGATTTTGAACTTTTAAAAAGTCAACCGTGAGTGCCACCCGATGTGGTTGAGCAAGAAGGTCCGTGAGGCGTAGGGAGGGCTGGCCCGGACACGGCCCTGCGCCCGCAGCCGCCACGCAGGCACGGCCCCCGCCCGGGGCCCTGCCCACCAGCTGAGGGCCACTCAGCTCTGCTGTGAACTCTCATTTCATAGCAGGGAAACTGAGGCAGGAAGGGACTGGCCCAAGGTCGCCTACAGCTGGTCTGGGCCTGGCTGTCCTGGCGCTCAGGGGACAGCGTCCATCACGGCGAGACCCCTCCAAACCCGGGATGCTGGCAGCGCTGTGTCTCCATAGCAACTGAGAGGCGTCTGCTGTGGGCTTTGTTGTCCCTGAGCGTCAGCAGGGCTCCCGGTCCTCCTGGGGCTGGCAGAGGGCGGCCGCTCCCGTCTGCCCCTGACGTGTCCCTGGAGCTGGACTCTGAGGCCGGGGGTGGGGGGGCCTGGGGGGCTCAGCCCCGGCTCCCGTCACCGCAGGGTGTTTCCAGCTCAAGCTTAGTTAACAGCAGTCAGAGGCCAAACTGTCCCCATGAGCTGCTAGCAGTTCCCGCCGACTTGGCTCAGCACCTCCAAAACTCATTCTGTGGTGAGGCAGTGAGTGAGCGCCTCTGTCCAGGGGCGCGAAGACAAAGGACAGCGAACTGGGGGCCTTAAAACAGCAGAAATGGGGAACCTCACCGCTCTGGAGGCCTGAGTCTGACATTAGTATCCCTGGGTTGGAATCCAGTGTCGCAGGGCCGGGCTCCCCCCTGGGGAGGGTGGCCCTGCCCCTTCCGGCTCCTGGGGGCTCCAGGCATCCCCCCGGCGTGTGGCCAGGTGCCCCCAGCCTCTGCCTTTGTGGTCACACGGCCTCTCGGCTGCTGTGTGTGTCGTGTCCCCCCTGCCTCCTGTGACATGAGGTGACGCTGGGTCCACCCAGAGAATCCAGGAGAATTGCCACAAGGTCTCTGATTTCGTGACATTTGCGGGTTCTATCTTATTTATTATTTTTTTAAATGTTTATTTATTTTGAGAGAGGACATAGAGCGTGTGTGCACACTGGGGAGGGGCAGAGACCGAGGGAGAGAGAGAATCCCAAGCGGGCTCTGGGCCGTCAGTGCAGAGCCGGATGCGGGGCTCAGTCTCAGAAACTGAGATCATGACCTGAGCGAAAGTCAGGAGTCGGACGCTTAACCGACTGAGCCCCCAGGCGCCCAGTGAGGATCTATTTCAGGGGCTGCTACCCCGCCGCCCACAGCGAGAGTGAAACAGCAGAGCAGGTTCTGATCCGAGCCCACCCCAGGGTCTGTGCTCCGCTAGTAGGAGATTATGAGGAGGGGGGAGAGCACTTGGCCCTCAGCAGGCGTGCAGGGCCTCCGGGGGCCCGTGTGCCTCAGTCTCTCTCCAGTGGAGTGCTCAGCTCAGGCTGGGCCCCGCGTGTCCACTTGTGTGCCTGGTGACAAGCTACCTGAGCCTGTGAGCTGCACTGTCCTTACCTGTAGGTCGAGCTCACAGCAGGAGCCGACCTGGGGGCCCTTGAAAGAGGCTGTACACGG